GTACCTTTTTAACTGTTCCTGAGTTTCTCTCACCATGTTATAGTACCTGTGAATTGTTTATTTTACTTATCAGGGAGAACAAGAAAGAATAACTTAGCCAAGTCAGTTGTCAGCTTGTCTGTTGGTGTTTGTTACATGCATTCATTCTTGCTTCCATTTTCTTCCTTTAAATGAAATAGTGATTGAAGTGAGCATCTTTGTGCACCGTGGTGGTGTGGGTGTGTGCCGCTGAGTTTGTTCTGACTCATAGTGACCTTGTATAAGGCTTCTGAAGCTGTTCATCTTGACAGGAGCAGAAAGCCTCATCTTTCTCCCTCGGCGTACCTGGTAGATTTGAACTACTGACCTTGTAGTTAGCAGCCCAGTTTATAATCCACTGTACTCCCCGGGCTCCTTGTGCCCGCTATTGTATGGGTAAATATAATGAATATAACCTCATTTGCTGCTCATTTTTTTTTTTTTTTTTCTCCCATACATTTTAGTTAATTATCTGGCAAGTTTTTCTTTAAAACTACAGATAGTTCACTGGGTCTAATTAATGACTTTATGCTATATCTGTTTCAAAACTCCCTCAGACAGTGAGGTGATATTTGTGTTAACCTTTACCCATGTTGACTTCTGTGGGGATTTTCCTGCATTCAGATCTGAGATTGAACTGGCACCTGGAGAACTCTGGAAGAATGCAGAGATTACACCACTTGCCAGTTCTTTTATCACGCCAAATCACCAATCATTGATTTGGCAATAATGTCCTTTTTGTGCCCTTGTTTTGTTGTTGTGAAGTGCTGTTGAGTCAGTTCTGACTCATAGCAACCCTATACAGGGTTTCCTAAGAGCGGCTAGTGAGCTTGAACTACCAGCCTTGCAGTTCAAACAGACCTTGCAGTCTAGCGCATTAACCCACAGCACCAGGGTTTTAACAGTTGAATATAGGACTCTTTGGTATGGCGCTGTGGATGAGCACTGGACTGCGAAACAAGGTCTGCAGTTCAAACCCACCGGATACACCTCGGAAACCCTAAACTGGGTCTCTCTGAGTCTGAACCAACTCAACGGAACTTAACAACAATAATATATCTTTATAGAAGTCCTGGTGTGGTACTGTAGGATAAGCACTGGACTGCTAACCAAAGGGCTTGCAGTTCAAACCCACCAGCCACTCCTAGGAGAACCCTATACAGGGTTGCTATAGGTCAGAACTGACTCGGTGGGATTAAACAACAGTCTATCTTTATAGGAGTCCTGGTATGGCAATGTAGGATAAACACTGAATTGCTAACCACAAGACTGGTGGTTCAAACCAAACATGCTGCTCCTCGGAAACCCAATATAGGATCGCTATGAGTCAGAATTTACTCGACAGCTCTTAAAACAGCAGTATATCTGTATATGGGAATATAAAGAGCCCTGCTCATGCAGTGGGCTACATATTGGCTTGTAACCACAAGGTCAACAGTTGGAAACAACTGGCTGCTCTGTGGGAGATGGGACTTTCTGTTCCCATAAAGATTTATAGCCTCTGAACCCCTATTCTGAGTTGCTATGAGTCAGAACCTACTTGAAGGCACACAGCAGCTGCAAATGGAAATATGGAGTCCTGGTGTGAAACGGTAGCGTAAGCGCACTGGACTGTTAACTGTAAGGTTGAAGGTTCAGACCCCCCAGGAAGTTGTCTCCCTTACCGCTGGGAAATAGGTTTACTACCTGAGATTCATTATCCATTCCTGCAGTGACATCATCAACTCTAAACAAGATGGTTTTTGTCCATTGAAAGTAAAGATCACCAATTTGTTGAGCATAGATACTATGCCTTTACGTCCATGAACTTATCTGTGTGTGAGTAGGAGTCCTGGGGTGGTGCTGTGGGTTACTGTGCTAGACTGCAAAGTTGGTTTGAACTGCAAGGTTGGTGATTGAAGCTCACCAGTCGCTCCTTGGAAACTCTCTACAGGGTTGCTATGGGTTGGAACCAACTCGATGGCATTTAACAACAACAGCAATGGGCTTTATTAGTGATGCATTCAGAGGAAAGAATGGTGTGGGATTTTAATGCACAGTTTTATGTGTCCATAATGTATTTCAGGAGAAAGATGAGGCTTTCTGCTTCTATAAGTATTTACAGCCTCAGGAACCCTACGCATGGCCCTATAAGTAAGAACTGACTCCAGAACCTAGCAACAATCATACAATCACATTCTTTATTCATTTAGCAAATGAGTCTTGAGAGCCTGCCTTCACTGAAAACTAGGAAATCAAAACTCAGACAAATATCATCAGTCTAAACAAGGCCAGGGGCCCACTGGGGCCTGACCTTGCATATGACCATCAATTGCTCATATGCAAGTTCAGGCTGAAGCTGAAGAAAATAAAAACAAGTCCACGACAGCCAAAATATGATATTGAATATGTCCCACCCAAATTTAAAGACCATGGATCTTGGCTGAAAGCAGAGAATGCCAGAAAGATGTTTACTTGTGCTTCATAGACTATGCAGAGACTTTGATTTTTGTGGATCATAGCAAGCTATGGATATCATGGAAAGAGTGGCTATTCCAGAACACTTAATTGTGTTCATGAGGAACCTATGACTATATAAACTAAGAGGCTGTTGTTCATACTGAATGGGTTAAGAGCACTAAAGGTGTGTCTCAGGTTATATCCTTTCGCTGTATTTATTCAATCTGTATGCTGAGCGTATAGTCCGAGGAGCTGTATTATATGAAGAAGAACATGGTATCAGGATGGGGAAAGACTACTTTGTTGTTGTTCTTAGGTGCCATCGAGTCAGGACCGACCCATAGCGACCTTAGGCACAGCAGAACGAAACGCTACCCGATCCTGGACCAACCTCACTACTGTTGCCACACTTGAGTCCATCGATGCTGCCACTTGGCCAGTCCATCTCGTTGGGGGTCTTCCTCTCTTTCTCTGAACTTACCAAACATAATATCCTTCTCCAACGACTCCTTAGCCACCTGCAATACATAAATGATACAGCCTTGCTTGCTGAAAGCAAAGAGGACTTAAAATACTTCATGATAAAGATAAGAGACAAAAATATTCAGTGTGGATTGTATCTCAATATAAAGCAAGCAAAAATCCTCACAACTGTGTCAATAAATTATATTATGATAAACAGAGAAAAGATTGAAGTTTCAAAGACTTCTTTTTGCTTGGATCCTAAATCAACAATCATGGAAGCAGCAGTCAAGAAACCAGACTACGTATTGCATTTGGCAAATCTGCCAAAGATCTCTTTAAAGTGTTGATGAACAAAGATGTCATTTTAAAGAGTAAGGTGCACCTGACCTAAGTAATGATAATTTCTTTCACCTCATATGAATGTGAAAGTTGGATAATGAGTAAGGGAAGACCACAGGACAATTGATGGCTTTGAGTTATGGTGTTGGTAAAGAATATTGAAAAAACCGTGGGCTTTTTTGAAAACAAACAAGTCCGTCTGTATTGGAAGAAGAGCCAGAATGCTCACAGATAGAATGTTCTGTAGAAGCAAGGATGGTAAGACTTCATCTCTCATGTGGGCATGTTGTCGGGAGGGATCAGTCCCTGGAGAAAGACATCATGCTTGGTAAAGTGAGGGTCAACAAAAAGGAAGACCCCAGCGAGATGAAGTGACACAGTGGCATCAGCAATAGGCCCAAACATATCTACAGTTGTTAGGACAGCACAAGACTGGGTAGAGTTTTGTTCTGTTGTGCATAGGGTCACTATGAATCGGAACAGACTTGATGGTACCTAACAATGACAACAACAACAGGATGCATGGGTCGAGCACCATCGCAGTGTTGATAATAGATTCTTTTCAGAAGAGGTGTTATCTAAACAGAGCCCTAATGGTGTAGGAGAAACTTGGACTGCAGGGGACAAGCGAACTTCAAAACATCTCTCTTGGCAGTGAGAACATCAAAAGGAAAGCTTTGTTACTTATGATCTATAAAGTGCTATTATGCTAGGGGTGATGTGGCGCTGTAAATGCGTTGGACAGCAAAGTCAATTTGAACCACAAACTCACCAACTGCTGTATGTATTACTGCTGAGGGGGGAGTGAAAGGTGTTCATTTTCTCCTGCCACATTTGTGACTTATAAGACTACAAATTTTGGAGTTTTATTGCTGCTGCTCTGGTGCAGTTTTATGTTTCTGAGTTACATTTAAATGCCACATTAAAATTCATAAGTTTCAGTTTATTGTCCACCAAAATAAGAGTTTCTAGATTGTTTTTAAATTGTGAAAATGCATTAATTTTTTTATTGTTGTTAAGTGCAGTCATGTCGGTTTCGACTCACAACAACCTTGTGTAGGGTTCCCAAGGAGCAGCTGGTGAGTTTGAACAACTAATCTTGTGTTTATCCTACAGTGCCACACCAGGACTCCCAGGTTATTATGGGAGTACAAAATGTACAAGTTGAGACTGGTCTTCTTACACAATAGTCTGGAATTTTCAGCACCCTTTCTCCTCCTTTAAACTGGAAGAACTTAAAACCATAAAATTTCCTAAAAATCTTTTGATCTATAAAGTGCTGTTATGCTAGGGGTGATGTGGCGCTGTAAATGCGTTGGACAGCAAAGTCAATTTGAACCACAAACTCACCAACTGCTCCTTGGAAACCCTATACAGAGTCGCTATGGGTCAAAGCCTGACTTGACGGCCCTTAACATCAACAACATGCTAGGGGTGAAAAATAAGAGACTAAATAAAAATGGATAGGGAGGGAAAACAAGTTGCATTTTTAAATAAGAGAGAGAAACCTAAATTGAGTTTTTGTGTGTGTCCATATATCTTTGGATGCAGCTCATGTTCAATATTGAGGACTAGCTTCTCGAGAAGGACGTTGTTCTTCTAAATAATTATGTATTTTTAGGACTATATTTTTCTGAATAACTTTTACATTAAAGGAGGAGTGAGTTCTAGATAATTGCATATTTGTAAAGAAAAGCTTGTTCTAACTCTTGTGTATGTGTTCCCTTTCTTGCTTCCAGCTTCTGAGGAAAAGGCACATCGGAAATGACATCGTTACTATTGTCTTCCAAGAGCCAGGAGCACTTCCTTTTACTCCAAAAAGCATCCGGTCTCACTTTCAGCACGTTTTTGTCATTGTCAGAGTGCATAACCCATGCACTGAAAATGTGTGTTATAGGTAAGTCTGCCTTTCTGATCCACCCTTCTAGTTCTACTTCAGCAAAACAGCCTTTCCAAAATTGTTTTGTTCTTTCCATTCTTATTTTGCCCTCTGAAAGATTTTTTCCAATTATATTTTCCGCTGTCATCACTTAGATATTTTCTTGAAGAAATAATAGATTTCTCTCTAATTTGTACCCTTGAAAAAGACCACCAGTACAAAAAGGTGCGTTACACATTTGCTCTATCTACAACTCAACGGCACTTAACAACAACAACCCCTTACAAACCGTATCTAGCTCCTGCTAGAGCCAACACCTTAATTGACACCCGCCTCCAAGTTGGATGATGTGGACATTTAAAGTTCTCTTTTAGGAGGTGATATTATTGTCATTTGTGGAAGTCAAGCATTTCTTCTCATTCCAAAGTCTTGGAAGCTCTTAATACCACAAGGCTGCTAGAACAGGGAGTTGTCACTCACTTGAATAATTTTAAGAAGCCGTGTATGTGCCTCAGAACCAGAGCCCCTGACAGAGCTGTGTTCAGTCTTTACCTACTCATGCTGTTTCTTAGTAACCGTAAACAACAATACCATGCAGTATAGGGCACTAGCAAAAAGCGCAGGACTTTGAGTCTAATAGACCTACTTTTGAGCTCAGCTCGTTGTCTCATCCTGTCGTTCTGTGGGAGTTACTTTGTTCTGCTGAGCTTTCCATTCTTTGCCTTCAATTGAGGATCAAAATGTTATGAAGAATAAGTAGTATAAGTTATGCAAAATGCCAATTACAGTTCCCAGTACATGTCAACTTCCCTTAGAATCTTAAAAATGCTAGTTACAAATTGAGTTGCCCATTGGGGCTGGACAGGGACCAGGAAGATACTGTGAGAGACCGCTACAGGGCAGTCACATCTGTATCTGAGGAAACCAGTCTCTGTGTGCGCTGTTGCCATTTACAACTCCTCCTTCCCCTCAGCCTATGTTAAAAGAGCACATGATCTGAAAAGCAGTGCTTCTTAGCGTCTGTAGTACATCAGAATCAGATTGTTAACTGATTTTCTGAGCCCACTCTGAAATAAGGTGTGTCTCACTGACCCCTGCATGGGCATATATGAGTAGGGCTTCAAAAAGTTTGTGGAAAAAAATGGAAAGAAAAGATAATGGCATTTTCCCACGAGCATTTTGAAACCCCCTCATAATATCTATGGCCTCATAAAGTTTTTGTTTTGTTTTGTTTTAAGAGAAAGCAGCTATCTGTTTGTTTAAATGGAGTCCTGGTGTACTGCTGTAGGATAAACAGCAGACTGCTAACCACAAAACTGTCAGTTGGAACCCACTAGCCAATCCTTGGAAACCCTATATAGGGTTACTATGAGTCAAAACTGACTTGACGTCACTTAACAACAACAAAGACCCCAAATTCCCCAAGTGTTGAGCAACAGGGCTCCAGGACGTGCCCCAGTTCCCATAATACTACCTCCTCTAGCCCATCTCCCCCTCCTCCTGGCTTCCTTCAGCTACCCAGCATCCTGTCACACCCAGTACGGGGGCAGCACCTGCCTCGGCTTCTCTGCTCTTGTGAACACTGGCAGGGCCAGCTGGGTTTGGGACACTTAGGGGCTCTGGTAGCGTAGTGGTTATGAGTCGGGCTGCTAATCTCAAGGGCAGCACTTTGAAACGACCACCTGTTCCACAGGAGAAAGATGAGGCTCTTTGCTTCGGTAAAGATTTACAGCCTAGGAAACCCTGTTACAGGGTCACTGTGAGTCAGAGTCGACCCCACCGCCATGCACTCTGGGAAGTGACACCTGCACATGATCAGGAAGAAGCTGTGCTGGGAGCTACCAACACCAGCTCCACTCCTGGCACTGGCACATTTCATGCCGTTTACCCCTCTCCCGAATAGGGCTATGAACCTCACGGTCAGCAGTTCAAAACTACCAGATGTTCTGCAGGAGAAAGATGAGGCTTTCTGCTCCCATAAAGATTTACAGCCTTGGAAACCCTGTATAGGGTTGCTATGAGTCGGAACCGACTCCACGCACATAACAACAACAACCCCTCTCCCACCTTGTGTCATATGCACCCAGAAGTCCTGATTCAGCAGCCTGCATGGCCTCTACCCTGCCCAGCTACACAATGCCTGGATCCAGTGCATACCACTCTCAGTCTTTGTCCCGGGGGCTCCTGGAAGGTTGGCTTTAAGGAGGTTTAACTACTGATTGTCTGGGGACTGCCTATACATAATCTGGGGTTCACAGAACAGCCAAATTGCATAACATCCTATTTCAGTGACTGTGTCATGGATATTAAGTGGCATATGCCTGCATTCTATCTCAGTAGACCTGCTGTGGGCTAAAGGTCTGCATGTTTGTCTCCAGATATCATCCCTATACGTATCTGAGCTAGAGTTGCTGTTGAAAAAAGATATAGGATCTACTTTGTGCAAATAATATGTTTAAAGGCGATAATGTTAAACATAGTGAATTGGCTGTTTCCCCTGGATCACGCCTAAGGAATGGTAATTATGAGACTAATCTTAACGGAACCTTCCTAGCAGATTAGAAATTTATATTTGGCTGCTATTTTCAGGCTAAATGGGGTGTTTTAAATTATGATCTATCTTTAGTTTATGTGTGTATCATGACATGGTTCATTAGAAGAGTAATTTTTAAATTAGTAGTGATCTATTCATTTTTATTTCTTTTGGGTTTTCCAGTTATAGTTAAATTACTAGGAGAGGAATTTTTTCAAAACTACTGTTGGTATAGAGCTGACATGGAGTCCTGGTGTGATGCTGTAGGTTAATGTGCTGGACTGCAAAGTCGGTTTGAAGCTCAAGGTCAGCAGTCCAAGTTTATCACTTGCTATTTGGAAACCCTATACAAGGACCTTGGTGGAACCCACTTAACAACAGCAAAGTGTAGAACTTACGTATACACAAAGTAGATTGCATTGTTTAGCTATTTGTTTGTTTTTTTATGATAGATAGACCAAACCAAACACCCCTTGTTGTTGAGTCCGTTCTTACTCAGAATGGCCCTTTCCTACAGGGTAGAACTGCCCCATCACACTCCCAAGGCTGTAGATCTTTGTGGACACAAACTGCCACATCTTTCTGTTATGGAACAGCTGGTAGGTTCCAATGCCGACCTCTTGGTTAGCAGCCAAATGCTTAGCCACTGTGCCTCTACAATCCCTTTATTATAGAAGAGAGCATTTATAAATCATTCAGAAATAGTCATTTGGTTTTTAGGGAACCGCAGTTTTCACTAAGTTGACATCTACTAATGAGATTCAAATGTAAAGTCACTCTAATCCCTCAAATTATGGGAAGTACCACAGAAACATTTATATTGATTATGTTTAACAACTTCCCTAATATCCCTCAAAGGAGCAATAATAAACTTTATGGAACATTGCAGTCAAATCAGTTCTGTAACATAAATGATGGTGGAGGTCTCATGAAAGAATTTTGCAAGACCAGTGACTTACTCATTGCATATACCCTTTCTTAATAACATCCAGCGACTATACATGTTTACTTCACCAGATAAAATACTCAGGAATAAAACTGACTTCATTATGTGGGAAGAGACAATGGAGAAGCTCAAAGTCAGTCAGAATAAGTTCCAGCTGTGGAACAGACCCATCGGTTGCTCATATGCAAGATCAGGCTGAAGCTTAAAAAATTAAAACAAGTCCATGAAAGCTAAACTATATGACCTTGGGTATATTTCACTTGAATTTAGAGACTATGTAAAGGACAGATTTAATACATTAGACAGAAATAACTGAAGACCAAAGGAGGTGTGGTATGACATTAAGAACATCACACATCAAGAGATAACAGAAGGTCATTGAAAAGCCTGCAAAGAAGGAAAAGACCAACATGGATGGCTGAACAGACTCTGAAACTTGCCCTTGAATGCCAAGAATCTAGAGACTGGGAGAAATGATGAAGTAAAAGAGCTGAACAGAAAATTTCAAAGCATAGGTCAAGAAGACAAGGTAAAGTATTATAATGGAATGACCCAAGACCTGGAGTTGGAAAACCAGAGGGAAAGAGCATGCTCAACATTTCATTTGCAAGAACTGAAGAAAAAATCCAAGCCTTGGGTTGGAATATTAAAGGATTCTATGAGCAAAACAGGGAGTGCAGTGGCCCTGTAGGATAAGCACTGAACTGCAAAATACAATGTCAGTGGTTTAAGTCTACCAGTCACGCCACAAAGATTTACAGCCTCAGAAGTCCTATAAAAGGTCGCTGTGAGTTGAAACCAAGTCGACGGTGTTTAGCAGCAACAGCAACATAAGCAAAATATTGAATGATGCAAGAAGCATCAAAAGAAGTTGGAGTACACAGAGTCACTGTACCCAGAAGAGTTGTTCGATGTTGAACCATTTCACCAGGTAGCATGTGGTCAAGAACCAAGGGTGCTGAAAGAAGAAGTCTAAGCTGTACTAAAGGAATTGGTGGGAAACAAGTTCAAAGAATTGATGGAATACAAGTAAGAATGTTCCAACAAACTGATGTGGCACTAGAGGGCCACTCTCACCTAAGCCAAGAGATTTGGAAGACAGCTGCCTGGCCAACCGATCAAAAGAGCTCCATATTTGTACCCGTTCCAAATAGAGGTAACCCAATGGAATGTGGAAATAATTGAACAATATCATTAATGTCACATGCAAGCAAACTTTTGCTGAAAATAATTTTTAAATAGTAGACAGGGAGCTGCCAGAAATTCAAGCCAGAGTCAGGAGAGGACATGGAGCAAGGAATATCATTGCTAAAGTGAGATGGCTCTTGGCTGAAAGCAGAGAATACCAGGAAGATGTTTACTTGTGCTTTATTGGCTGTGTAAAGGCATTCAACTGTGTGCATTTTAACAAACTATAGATAATATATCAAAGAAAACTTTACCAGAACACTGAATCGTGCTCATGAGGAACTTTTACATAAACCAAGAGGTAGTTCAAACAGAACAAGGGAACACTGAATGGTTTAAAATCAGGAAAGG